AGTGTATAAAATAATATTAACTTAAGACAAATTTTAATATCATATATAGTTTAATGGAATCAAGTTTTTAAAATTTTGAAAGCTATTGTAATACAAGGGAAACAACAAACATCAAATAAGGTATCTTTTGCCATAGCAGATAGTTTATTAAAGTGTGTATAATAAATCACGTAAATTTTCAGTTTCATCGTTGTAAATGAATTCACGTTGAAATACTTTGAATTTGTTTTTACAGAAAAAATATAAATTCAGAAAAGGAAAAAAAAAACGCAATTTTTGATAACGGCTGTAGTAACAGTTGAAAGTACAAAGAAAACAGTAAAAAAAAAAAAAACAAATTAAAAGAAATTTTGAAAGTTAGTTTACCAATTGTATAAAACAACTTAGCCGCAAGGTGGGAAAAATTAATAAAAATTTGAACCGACAATCTTTGACGAGGTTGTTCAATAAAATGCTTAAAAGAATCCTTGCAGCTTATAATATATATATATATATATATATATATATATATATATATATATATATATATATATATATTCAGTTGTATGGATATGAGTTTTTTCCTGATAGCTTTATTACAGATATTATATTTTGCACTTTCGTCTAAGTACTGTGCATATAAAATAATATATATATATATATATATATATATATATATATATATATATATATATATATATATATATATGTGTGTGTGTGTGGGTGTGTGTGTGTGTGCTTGCATATATATGTGTGTGTTTGTCTGAATAATGTGCGTGGGCTAAACGAAAACTCATTATTCACATCATCATGGTTACAGTCTTCCCATAACCTATATCTGGCTGGAAGAGCACTGATCGGGAGATTGAAGTGTTTATAGAAATTGGAACCACCTCTTAATTAATATTGTTCCCAGGTCCACTCTGACCCATAATGGTAGCACCTGTTAGGGTCCCATATATGGAGAAATAGTGACCCCGCCGCAAAGAAAAACCAATCACTATGAAAATAAACAATATTTTTATAGTAAACATACCAGCAATACATTTTTTAATATAAGAAATACCAATAACACCAGTTGATCAGAAAATTATCAACAATACATTTTATCTGTAGTTGAAAGCATACAAATTCGTTAAAAATATTTATATTTTGGCATTAAGTAGCCCATAGACGTTGATATGCTTACTAAGTAAAATCAACCAAAATTAACATGTTACCCCACCGTTTTTTATCTATTTCATAAAATAGTCTTTTCATTCTTAGCTGTATTCCTTGTTTCCTTTTCTCAAACTGAATTATTCTACATTAGCAGCATGGCCCGGTGTTGCCCGTGCTTGATTCAAAAATTGTACGACTCGTACAGCAATCGCTATCACTTGACTTAAAATATTTTTGCCCTTCCTTGCCTTTAAAGGAGTGCCATTTGCCATGCTGATGTTGCTACATGCCTTACTTCTTGCCTACCTCAAACTGCAAATTTTTTCTAAGCTCTATACTAAACATTAAATCTGTTACGAAAAAAGAACTAAACAAAATGAACACAAAACGATCAGCTTTAAAAAAGAACTCGTAACTGGAAAAAGTGAATGTAAAAAGAATGTTAACAACGAATACTTTTCCCCACCTAACCCAGTTCTGCGGAATCAGAATCAACGTTGAGTTTAAGCAAGCGAATGAGCCAATTGGAGTAGAGTGCCATGCAGATTTAAATTTTCCTACTTGTGACGAATGCAGCTATCGATTTTAATATAAGAAATACCAATAACACCAGTTAACATTCGTGTCAGTCAGCTGTTGGCTCACACGCTGGCCAATAGAATCTTCCTGCCTATTCGTGGCAGCCAGCTATTGGCTCTCACTCTGGCCAGTAGAAAATGGCCGCAAACTACATGAAAACTGCCGTAGAAGCAAGAAAAATCTATTATTTCCAGTATCGATGGGAGTTGGGAAATGCAAAGTCGGTCTTGGCCTTCCCGCTAACTTAAAACATGTGCATGTAAATTTTGGAGCAAATCCGTCGAAAATTGCGGCCGTGCATCCGTTACACACACACACACACACACACACACACACACACACACACACACACATCCTGCCTTTTATAGATAGAGATTTAATGTTTTTCCCATTTAATTAACTGAATAGTTAAATGTACCAATAACTTTAATCGTTGCCATTACATGTCTTTATTTATTTTTTTACTTTTCATAATTCTGACTTTCTGTTTCTGAGCTATTTCTATGTATTTTGTGAGTTTGCTACTTCGAATTAAATTTCTAATTCTTTCTTACGTCGCCTCTCAGTTTGAAATTACTAACAGTAGAGATCATCTCTCAGAATATCAAGTTAACAATAGCAACGGATATCAGTCACTATAGCGGAAAGAAAGCGGCGTGTGGCAAACAAAAATCTTGAATTTGTCTATTGTTATATTTTTTCTTGAACATCGATATTTAACCAGAATATCATATACGGATGATTTAATTAGACATTTTTTTTGCTAAAAGGAATTAATTAAGCTTTCTGACATTAAAGTTTTTACAGTTTTGAGTAATTACATAATTTAATTAGGTTTACTTGTTTGGTCCTTGTTGTAGTAGGATCCACCTAATTTGCATAGTGGAGTACCGACCATATAAATATGGTTGGTACCGGGAAGAGAAGGGGAGGAATCAAGAGATTCAATCCAGAGACTCTGCCCGACTGCGACTAAGTCAACACATTCACCAGGAACGGTCTTCCCAGGAATATACAAAAGACTATATGTAAATATTGTGTACACTTTCTTGTTTCAATACATTTTGTTCTAAGTACATTTTGTGTTGCATTATTATTCCATGCATTAGTCAAGTTTCAATAGTCCTGAGCAATGATATTCCGATTAGGATGTTCTTTAGTCTCCTGTAATCCATCATGCACGGTGGAGTAATGGATAGCGGCTCGGATTAAGGAATCAGAGAGCCACCTTCTTAATACCCTTGGGAAATGTATGAATACTCTGCTTCTCCCACTTCTTCTTCTCTATGGGTAAATAGCAGGACAAACAGAGTTCAATAGCCTTGGATGGGAACTGGTCTACCGCAGAAAGAAATGACAACATACTGCGGGAAAATAAAATCTACCTCGTCAGTCATATATCGAATGGAATATAATTGATGGCTGAATCCATCATTAGTGTCTCACATTGAAGAATCTGAGAGCCGAGTTCGAATTCCAAACGAGGTTATTACATTCAGTTAGGTAACTTTTGGGACTGGACAAAGAAGAATTATGAGAAGGAAATCTGAATTCAAACCGGGTCGAACTGTCTTAAAATTGTTTATACCTGAGGCTGGGGATATCGCTTGTCAATCCAAATTCCCACTGACACTCCTACTACGAATTTGCACGTCCGAATGAAAAAAAAACTATGTTTAAGTGTGCGATTTAAGTTTCTCTGGTTTTCTAGCTCATCGGGCACAAAGTATATCGTAGTTTTTTTTAAAAAATAATATACAGAGGACCCATGGGAAGAACGCTGTTTCCTAGACGAAGAATAAGATAAGATAAATTAGAACAAAAGACGCAGGAAATGAATTGTAGGTAGTGCTCATTTTTTTAAAAAAAAAAATAAAAAAAAATAAATAAATAAGGAGAAATTTGAAATTTAAAATTTGAGATGTTGTCCTACTAAAGATGCGGTAATGATATATATGTGTGCGTGTTTTGAACAATAAAAAATATTAAAAAAGTTAAAATTTTCAGACACACTGGGTTGTATATTAATATTTTTTGTTTTATTATTACAATTAGGTTTCTCGACTAGTTTCGGCCAGAATGGCTAACACCAGGAGAAAAAAAAAATCCCTGCTTGTTTGTAGCAGTGAACTACGGAAGTGAATGACTATCTCTGAAGTAAATGTACTTTATTTGTAGGTTTCATTTGTTTTTATCGTTAATTTTCGTCAGTCCTTGTGTTGGCTGAACAGCTTCATTTTTTTTTTTTAAGATAAAGGATGGGAAATTCCTGACTTTCAGAATTTCCTCCTTGGTCATCTTGGATGTGTGTGTTAAGTGTATGTTATCTTTTAGTTATTTGGGAGTGTGTGTGATGTGTGTATGTATATATATTTGTATGAAGGTGTGTTTAAGTATGAGAACTCAACACCTTTGCAAGTCTTGTGTAAGTAAGAAATGTGGGTAGAGCTTGATTTTGGGGTTTATACATTAATTCTGTGTTCTTAGATTTATGGTTAACTCGTCTGGACGAAGTGTTTTGAAACGAAAAACCATTTGTTTTTATGTTCCTCTAGTATTTTTATAAGGTTATCTTTTCTGTCTATTTCTATTTTTTTTAATTATAGTGAATTTTGTATGGCTTTTAAAATCATGTTTTTCTAGGCGGAAATGTTGATCTCCAGGTAATGAATTTTCGTGGGGGGGCTGACTTGATCTGATTCCGTTAATTTACTTCGTCCGTGTTCCTCTAACTGCTAGATGCCCCATGTAGAAAACAAGGTATTCAAAAAAAATTACTGAAACCAAAATATGTCTATTATGTAGATGATACTTTTGGTTTACCAACTTCTAAAACAAGTACTGCCGACAGAACATCTTCTATTTATACCGACACTGCAAAGCTCCATGATTAAATTGTTACAATTTGCCGAATGGCTTTGTTCACAATTGTTAATGACTAATTTAGATCTTATGACTTCTGGATGTGGTGTCTCGTAATAAATTAGATCGGAGGGTCAACACGCGTACTGCAGTCGCTCTAGAAGTGCTGTGTCTTGGGCAATATAGCCTGAAGGGAAAAAAAACACTCCGGGCTGAGTTGAATTCAGTGTTCCTTCTTAGACTAGTCGCCAATTAAGGCTATATGTTGCATTTAGATTTCTTGAGTGAAGAAATGGTATGTTTTTGTTAAATTTATCTCAACAATTAAACCTCCTATATAATGACAAAAAAAAATTAGATAGATTGCCACTTGATACAGTAAAAATACGACCCCTTTCTTTCGGGGCAGACGAGCATACACCTCTGTACCATTATGCATTCCCTGCATTGCCGACCACAAGCGAACTGTCACGTCGTCTATTACTACACTACACAGATAAATGTATTTCTTGTTCCATTTCCTCTTAAAATTCCCTGGTAGCTAACATGTTCCGTCCATGGTATTCTCTTGCTGGTAGAACGTCATCCATGTCGCTTAAAGACGCTTGGATTACCTCAGATGCTTTCCAAGTGACTTCGGCTAATGAGTATTAAATAGCGATGCAAAAACGGTATTTAAAAAAAAAAGGTTCAAACGTTTTAACGATGAGCCATGTCTCATTCTTATTTTGGATGGGGGTGGGACGGTTGGGTCGTAGCAAACGATAAAAGGGAGAATTTGCTCCGTAATATTACAAACCATATCGCAGAGAGAAGATGAACACGTGTTGCCCGTACCAAGGCTCCTGGCGGAGGGATTGAATTTAACGTCTTTTCGCGGATTGTCCGTTTTTTATGGCAAGAACAGTTTTTGTTGCATGTGAAATATTTTTTTATTATTTTTAATTTTTATTTAATTTATGTATACAAAGCTTTTTAGGTTATTGTTTTAATTTATTTTATTTATATTTTTCTTTATTATTATTATTTTCGATTTTATTTTAATAATAATAATAATATTCTACATTTCACTGTTCTGTATCACGTCTTTTAATACACTGACTAGATGATTACATTTCTGTTTTCTTCTTCATTTTGATGTCAATATTCATTAATAAATGTTTCTTTTTTTTCCTACAGATATTTCTTCTCTCTTCGGCCTTTTCTTTAAGTGAGCGTACCACTTTTTACAGCCGGCATGTATAGAAATTTTTGCGCCTCGACTTCGCTATTCTTTTGGTTTAAGTGTCTTTTCCTCGTTTATAAAGCGACCTTCTAGTCTCTTTTCCGGTATAAACATCTGTTAAATGTTGCTTAAGAAAACAGGTGTCGACGTACAAGACACAATATTTTACTGTCATCTACTGGGGAATAAAATGTCATCGCATAAACAACAATGCATTCTATCTTAATATCCATAAAAACGAATCAAGATAATTTACACTGACATCACAGGAGACGAAAGATTTATATCAAGAAACGGACTGAACAAAGACGCACTCAAAAGAAACATACTTTTACAGAAGAACTAGAAGCAGAAGTAAAAAAAAATACATAATTGTCAGCTTTGTATAAACAATAATAATGAAAATGGTGCCAAAGAACTGTACGCATGCGCCGTGAATACATCGTCATTAGTGAAATCGAATTGTCTGAGTGCCAAGGGAGATAACACTGTCTCAGCATTATACATTTGATAGAACATCTGTAATGGCTCCCACATTTATTTCGGATACGTTTAATGTAAGAAAATAGTTTCCGAAATGTTGAAGAAGAAAAAAAAAAAAAAAAAAAAAAAAAAAAACAGACAGTAACAAGAAATAAATCTAAAGAAAAATAGTTGGTTATTTACGTAAAAATGCCCGTGCCGCTTCAAGAAAATGTTTGAAGGAAGGTTCTTAATGGTACCTATATTCACTTGTTTGGATTTTTTTTCTGTCGAGGTATTTGCACTATGGGGTATTTTTGTATTATGGGTAATACAAGAGAATAAAACTAAAACAGGACGAAGAACGAGAAAATAAAAAAAAGCTAAAGTTGATAGCCCCCCCACCCCACAAAAAAAATCCACTAGCATAGAACACGGACAAAAAAGTATCTAAAAGTAAATCGATCATGTAAAGATCGTGAAAAACAAAGAAACAAACAAACATGGGTGGTACTGGCCATAATTTGATGGACTTAAAACACAAAATACCTTTTTCAACGAAAGAAAATATTGATAGAAAATGTTTTTCTCTAGTTTTTTTTTTTTTTTTTTTTCCTCATTGATTTCAAGGGATGTGTGAAATCTCCGAAGAGGTGGGTGAAACGCAGATTAATTTGACTGAAACACAAATGATTTGAAAGAAAGAAAGAAAAAAAGAAAGAAAGAAAGAAAGAAAGAAAGATAGACAGCGTATATTGCCTGAATGAAGAAGAATGAGAAAGGAAGAAAAATTATATTCACTGAAAGAAAGTGAGAGGATTTGCGTTGTAAAAAAGAAGAAAGGAAGAAAGTGTATATCGGCTGAAAGAAAGAAAGAAAGAATGGAAGAAAGAAAGAAAAAAGACAAAAGAAAGAAAAAATGAAGCGTATATTGCCTGAACGAAGTGGATTGTGAAAGAAAGAAAGACTATATTCGCTGTAGTTGTGCTGTAAAAAAAAGAAGAAAGAAAAAAGTGTTTATTGTTTTAAGAAAGAAAGAAAAAAGAAAGAAAAGCGTATATTGCCTGAACGAGGGAGAATGAAAAAGAAAAAAAGTGTACATTCTGAACGGAGAAGGGGACTGTGCTGTAAAATAAAGAAAGAAAAAAAGGAAGAAAGAAAGGAAAAAAGAAAGAAAAAAGGTCGATATCGATATTTCCAGAACGAAGGGGAAATGAGAAATAAAGAAATACTATTATCGCTGAACGAAAGAGAGGGAAGTTGTGTTGTGAAAAAGGAAGAAAGAAAAGGTATATTGGCTGAAAGAAAGAAAGAAACAAACAAACAAAAAGGTGTATATTTCCTGAACGAAAGAAAGAAAGAAAGAAAGAAAGAAAGAAAGAAAGAAAGAAAGAAAGAAAGAAAGAAAGTGTATATTGCCTGAATGAAGAGGAATGATAAAGGAAGAAAAACAATATTCACTGAAAGAAAGAGAGAGGATTGGAGTTGTAAAAAAAGAAGAAAGAAACAAACTGTATATTGGCTAAAAGAAAGAAAGAACGAAAGAAAGAAAAAATAAAGAAAAAAAAAGAAAAAAATCTAACCGTATATTGCCTGAACGAAGGGAAATGTGAAAGAAAGAAAAATTATATTCGCTGAAGTTAGGTTGTAAAAAAGAAGAAAAAAACTATTTATTGGAAGAAAGAAAGAAAGAAAGAAAGAAAGAAAGAAAGAAAGAAAGAAAGAAAGGAAAAAAAAGCGTATATTGCCTGAACGAGGGAGGATGAGAAAGAAAAAGTGTACATTCTGAACGAAGGAGAATGGGAATGTGCTGTAAAAAAGAGAAAGAAAAAAAGGAAAAAAGAAAGAAAAAGGCGTATATTTCCTGAACGAAGGGGAATGAGAAATAAAGAAAAACTATTTTCGATGAACGAAATAGATAGAAGCTGTGTTGCGAAAAAAGAAATAAATAAAACGTATATTGACTGAAAGAAAGAAAGAAAGAAAGAAATAAAGAAAGAAAGCGTATATTGTCTGAATGAAGTTGAATGAGTAAGGAAGAAAAACTATATTAACTGAAAGAAAGAGAGAAGATTTGAGTTGTAAAAAAGAAGAAAGAAAGAAACTGTATATTGGCTAAAAGAAAGAAAGAAAGAAAGAAAGACAGAAAAAAGAAAGAAAAAAATGAAAGCGTTTATTGCCTGAACGTAAAAAAGAAAGAAAAAACTGTTTATTGGCAGAAAGAAAGAAAGAAAGAAAGAAAGAAAGAAAGAAAGAAAGAAAGAAAGAAAAAACGAAAGAAAGAAAGAATGAAAAATCATATATTGCCTGAAAGTGTACATTCTGAACGAAGGAGATGGTGACTGTGCTGTAAAAGAAAGAAAGAAAGAAAGAAAGAAAGAAAGAATATGCATCAAACAAAATGATCGTAAGGACAAATATTGTACATATTAAAGGTAATCTCCCAGAAAATGATCTTAACTATGAACAGGAAAGAAACTGAAAACAAGAAATGAAGGGAAAAGATATTTTAGTGAAAGTATGGTAAAAAGAAAGGGTGGTAAGGTGAGATACAGATGTGCAAATAAAACAATATGACGGAGAAAAAAAAAGAACGTTACTTGTTATAAACTGAAGGAGAAATGAAAGCGAGAATGAGAGAAAGACAAAAAGCAAAAGATGGAGAATGACTCGAACGTAAAAGAAAAAAAATACGTTGGATTTGACAAGAATTAAAAAAAAATGGTTTATAGGGCGCTCTAGATGATGAAACTCACATTGCGAGAGAAATAGACTGGAAGAAAATAGAAATATTAAAGGGAAGTGATTTGGCTGAGAATAATGGCTGTAGACAGATTTTCACAATACGATGCAAGAGAGTATTAGAAGGGAGAGTAAGAGAAGGAAAGAGAGGCAAATGAAGACAATGCCTCTTCAGGGGGTAGGCTCTCCACAATTTCATACCCTTTGTAACACTTAATAAATTTTCACTTTTTGTACCTCTCTTCAATCTTGCATCAACTCCCGTTTACTCAAGCTCGCTATGTAGGTCATGCATCATTTTTCTTTGTTCCTCTTACCTTCAATGTTTCCTGTGGGTATCAAATTTTCCGAGCTCTCTTTCCTTTTATGTACAAGAAAATTCAGCAGTCTCCTTCTAAGCGCCCTTTTTGTTTCTATTTTCTTTAACATTTCGTCGTTGCTCACTGTTAGAAAATCCGGAGACCAGAGCCAGAATGGTAAGCAACTGGCCTGAGTGATTCGTGGAAGTGTTATTGCGACAGAGATTGATTGACTTTGACTGGGTTTTGGATATAAGTTCTAAACGACGCGAATTCAAGAGAAGGCCGCAAGAATTTTGAAGCATCGATAGGCTTCCCACGAAGAGCGAACGTGCAACATGCGTTCCAGAGACATCATTCCTCCCGCTGCCTCTTAGAATCCAAACTGCCACTACTCTCTCCTAACAAAGTAAAAAAGAAAAGAAGAAAATGTGCTTTTCGTTGATATTATTTTCTGTTGCAACGTGGGGACTCAGAGACGATAGGGAATGTAACATTACATGTTCGATCCATCGTATTCTCGTCATGCTAATGTAGAACCAGATTTTTGTTGATTTTCAAGTTTCGCCATCTGTGAGGAGATTGTCCAGCATTCACTGCCATGTAGGAGGGCTGATATTACTTAACAGTTTAATAGTCGTTTCTTTGTTTCTAACGAAGAAGTAGAAAAAAAGAGGTAAAATAGATGACTATGGAGAGATTACTCAATTATAGCCTACG